TAATGTGAAACAAAATGTTTTCTAACATTTCTAAATATCTTTGGGAAAGAGAAAAATGGGCCATAATTCTGTCACCAAACATTATTTGTTAACAGCGTCGTAGGCCTGAAAACTTTGTCTGAAACAAAATGGGAAAGTCAAATCGCAGCAATTAAAGCTATGTATTTACAATTTGACTATGTTATCAACTGTCTAAACGATTTGAAAAAGGAATGTGGAGAAGATGCCAAGACTTTGTGTGATTGTGAAACAGATTCGAAAGAAATGTTAACTTTTGAATTTGTAGTTTCTATACATGTATGGTACCAGGTAACAGTTCATGTTAACTTAAAAGTGGCTATTGACGTTCGTTTTGCGACTGGGTTCAAGAATACCGCCGTACAGATTTTGATACTACTCTTGCAGAAGCTCAACTTTTCGTAAAAAAAAGTGATTTCGAAATCTCTTAACACGTGACTGTTATGCACGCTATTGACACCATCTCTTATAAAAGTTGTTTCGTCATACCAAACAATTAAATTAAAAAACCATTCACAAAATTGAACCCTTATTTGTTGGTTACCTGCTTGTAAATTTTGCACTAGCTGAATGTGATACGTATGAACTTCGATGCACAAAAGATTGAGAAAGTCCAAGTCTTCTGGAAGCACGTAACCACGTCAATAAGGGCTTCCTCTGTCTGTACATTGTGGCAAATACGTGGACCTCCTCCATGATTTCGCGCAATACAAAATTTCCGTAATCTGCTGTATGCCCAAGTAAAGACTGCTCGAGACGGCTGCCTCTTCTGAAATCTTCGGCGATAGTCTACGGCAGCTGCCAAGGCGCTTCCATTGCAGAAACTATAAAGAAAAATAATGTCCGCATATTCTTGATTAGTAAATTCTGACATGAAGACTAATAAGTGTTTGAGAGTAAGCGATTTTAAATAATTGACTTTATACAGGATGTTTCGGTGACTCGGGGAACAAATTTAACCATAATATATACTAGAGTGAAAATGTAGACGATTCATGTAAAAAAAATTAGTAAAAGTCTTCAAATTTCGACGATACAGGCCATCAAAGTTAGGAAATTTTAACACATTTTTCCAAGTATCTTAAACACTATTTACAGTAAAGCGTTGAAATTTGGTACAGTGTAAATCAATGTCATGTAAAATCGTTAGGCAATTTATGAATTGGATCGGTCATCGGGAACAATGCTATAGAGGATGTTCCTAAAGTTTGTTTGTTTAGAACTTTTTTATTCTATCATAACCGTACATTTATGTTTGCAGTTTCTCATAGCAAATTTAGTTTAGAAACTTTTATTACTCTTAGATAATATTGATAAAAGTCACCGTTTTCGCGTTAAATGCAAAAATGTTGGGTTGGGTTGGGTCAAATCTAAGTTTTTGTACATTTCCTTTAGTATTTTTTATTACTTGTCTTGTTATTTTATGTATGTTTTTATTATTCCTATTAGTGTTGTCGTTTTTTTGTTTATTTTTTGTAGATTTTTAATTTATTGTTTTCGAATTCTTTTATTAAACCAACTAAAACAAATTAAAAATGAGATTTAGCTAAATTTACACTTGGACATGTTGCATAAATAATAGTTATGACAGCTCAGTTCGATTTTCACTTATCATTGCCAATTCAGATTATTTATTTTTTTTTGTGTTATTGAATTCGTAGCCTAACATTTTTGCATTTAATACGAAAACGGTGGTTTTTATCAATATTCTCTAAGAGTGATAAAAGATTCTAAACTAAATTTACTATTAGAAACTGAAAAAATAAATGTAGGGTTATGATAGAATAAAAATGTTCTGAGCAAACAAAGTTTAGGAACAGCCTGTATAGCACTGTTCCCGCGTACCGATCCAACTCAAAAATTGCCTAATGATTTTACGTGATATTAGTTTACACTGTACCAAATTTCAACGCTTTACCATAAATAGTGTTTAAGATATTTAGAAAAATGTGTTAAAATTTCCTAACTACTATTCCTAACTGTATACTATGTTACATTTGTTCCCCAAGTCACCGAAACACCCTGTATACAGGGTCTGTCACGACGAGCTGAATCTATATGTATATATCAAACTACTGGCACTATTTTTGTGAAAATATCCATGCAGGGTTTACCCGAAGTGCTCGTTTCAGCTAAAATATTTTCAATTTTCTGCAACTTCCGGGTATACCGGAAATGGACCCCAACTTCGTTATTTTAAATGGAATATAGCAATTTTTATTGAATTTTCGAAATCCTAAATTTTATTATAATTTGATATAAGTCATCATATGTCTAGAGTGCACCATTTTTGAATTATTTCAGTTTTTTTGAAAATTTTGGCAGATGCAACCCTTCACAATAAAAATAATTTTTCGAAATTACACTCGAGTCCGGTCAAATATTCTCAGTGTTTGCACAGAGAGGACCCCAAGCTTACATAACCCTAGAAAAGTTTTTTAAAAAATTATACAGGCTGGTTAGAAATTTGTGCCGAATTTTCCTATCTCAAAAAGTCGAAAACTTCATTTTCTTTAAATGCAACCCAAATTTTTTCCTTCACCAGCCTATTGTACCCTGAAAAATAAGGGAACTTTGTCATTACATCCCTATATCTAAAATGTATCGTTTCCGTAGAAATTTGAAAAAAAAGAAATTTTCTTGGTTATTAGTAACTTTAAAATTATCAGTCGACTTTGGTTTGAAGCAACCATACGTAGCAAAAGTGTTAATCATGTTCCGTTTAGAATTTAGTAATAATTGTACAACCTATGACCAGTTTATTGGAAAGCACAAAGGAGTTAAATCAATCGTAGATATCGAAGAAAATGAAATTAAGTTTTGGGGTACTTCAGAGGGTATCTTGAAAATTTGTTATTATATGCTAAAAGAGATTTGCGAATATTTGAGAAAAGCAATCACAGGATTTAAAAAAAAACATAACTTTCATTCTTATTCTTACTCATTGGCACAAAGTTTAAGACAAGGTAATGATCAAAGGAGAATTGATTTTTATGAATTTATATTGATTAAAACTCAAGAACGTGAAGATTTTTTGGAAAAAATAATATAAGTTACAAAATGTGTGGAGAGCGGGCTTTGAGGAGAATTTTTGAATGTAGGCCACACCCATGGGCTGTATCTTCGAAAGTAGCAAACTCCTTTGTGTGATGTTAATCACAAAGACCCTTACATTCTAGCGCACAATAGCTATTGTTTCATATCATAATAATCATAATAATTTTAAATATACTAATAATCAAGAAAATTTCATTTTTTTTCAAGTACTACGAAAAACCATACATGTTAGGTATAGGGATGTACTGACAAAGTTCCTTTATTTTTCAGCGTACAATGCGCTGGTGAAAGAAAAAATTGGGGTGGCCATTTAAAAAAATTAAGTTTTCGACTTTTTGAGATAGGGAAATTCGTCGCAAATTTCTGACCAACCTGTATAACTTTTTAAAGAACTTTTCATGGGTTATGAAAGCTATGGGTCCTCTCTGTGCAAACCCTGATAATATTTGGCCGGACTCGAGTGTAATTTCGAAAAATTATTTTTATTGTGAAGGGTTGCATCTGCCAAAATTTTCGAAGAAACTGAAATAATTCAAAAATGGTGCACTTTAGACATATGATGACTTATATATAAATATAAGTACTTATATATGATATGACTAAATTATATTAAAATTTAGCGGAGATTTCGAAAATTCAATAAAAATTGGTGCATTTCATTTAAAATAACGAAGTTTTGGTCTATTTCCGATATAACCGGAATTGGGAGAAAACTGAAAATATTTTAGCTGAAACGAGCACCCCGGATAAATGCTATCTATATACAAATTTTCAGAAAAATAGTGCCAGTATTTGCCAGATAATACAGGTAATTCAAATTCGACCCCCACCATTGGGATCTCAGAAACCATAAGAGATACAGAAATGGTTAAATGGGGGCAAAGTTGCGTATCTTAGAGCTCATCATTTTTCAACAAAATTTTTGAATCTAGCCGTTTTAGTTGTTAAAATATTGCCGAAAAACAAAAAAAATGACTTTCGTTTTTTGCCTATAATTATTTTATTTTTCGTTCTTCGTGAATTTGAAAAAACATTCCTAAGGCAACTTTTTATGAAAAATGTCATGAGAAATTTTAGAAATTTTTTCCGACGTTTCGTTTTCGTGAAACTTCATCAGGTTTATTTTTTCTTATGAACGCCAGTGTTTTTTTTTCGGTTTACGCAAACGAGCGCTAAGATACGTAACTTTGCCTCCATTTAACCATTTCTGTATCTTTTATGGTTTCTGAGATCCCAATGGTGGGGGTCGAATTTGAATTACCCTGTATATGTATCTGGCAAATACTGGCACTATTTTTCTGAAAATTTGTATATAGCATTTATCCGGGGTGCTCGTTTCAGCTAAAATATTTTCAGTTTTCTCCCAGTTCCGGAAACTATTTCTTATGGTTTCTGAGATCCCAATGGTGGGGGTCGAATTTGAATTACCCTGTAGACTCAGCTCATCATGACAGATTCTGTACATTATTACGTTTCCATGACAACTTCTTTTCCGAAAACTTATTATTAGAACTAAAATTAGAACTAAAACTAGAACTAACACTAGAAACTTTCGGGTTTTGCCGTGCGCGTTTTAAGAAAAGGTTTGACGTTTCGGATGCCATGTTGCAACCTTCTTCAGAAACTGGTTCGAAGTGGTTCAGTTTCTGAAATATATAAAACTTTTATAACTCTTGTTTATAACAACTTATTTTTTTGTTTAAAATTTTATTTTGTATCAGAATCCAAAATATTGCACACGAGTTATGAATCACCCCGTATATCAAATCAAGATTTTTAAAATTCGATATGAGTTTCGTCTTGGCTTAAAAATTTAATTTAAATTAAATAGGGTATTGTTGACTTTTTGGGGGACGTTATTATATAAATTGATTGAATTTAACTGAAATTAATTTTAGAATCACCANGGAGGTGTCTGAAAATCGTAAATTTCAAACACTCTCTGTATATCAAAAACGAAGAGGGCTATGAAAATTTGGTTTGCGCCATTGTAAGTTTCACAAAAAAGTAGCTCAGGTTCGCGAAAGCCGCAACTTTCTATCTTTCATAATAACTGAGATACCCTGCAAACCCATCGAAATTTGGACATTGTGGCAAACACGTGGGCCTCCTCCATGATTTCGCGCAATTACAAATTCCCGTAATCTGCTGTATGTTCGAGTAAAGACTCGGACATACAGCAGTTTCTTCAGCCTCTTCTGAAATCTTCGGCAGCTGCAAATACGTTTCCATTGCAGAAACTATAAACAAAAATAATGCCCGCATATTCTTGATTAGTAAATTCTGGCATGGAGACTAATAAATGTTTAAGTGCAAGCGACTTTTAAATAATTGGCTTTATATACATTATAACGTTTCCATGACAACTCTTTTTTTTCGAAAACTTATTATTAACTATAAAGTTTTTGTGCTGAAATGTGTAAAACTTTTATAACTCGTAAACAAATTCGAAAACGTGAACATTTTATTCTTATTTTTTTGTTTAATATTTTATTTTGTATCAGAATCCAAAATATTGCACACGAGTTATGAATCACCCTGTATATCAAATCAAGATTTTTAAAAATTCTATATGAGTTTCGTCTTGGCTTAAAAATTTAATTTAAATTAAATAGGGTATTGTTGACTTTTTGGGGGACGTTATTATATAAATTGATTGAATTTAACTGAAATTAATTTTAGAATCACCAAATTAACCATGAAGAGATTAACTACGCCCTGGTTACACCCCGATTTTATATTTTATAAATCAACGTACGGAAAAGAATATAATAAATATTTAACAACATTACATAATTTCACTAAACAAGTAATTGCTAATAAATTAATATATTCCAAATAATAAAATTTAATGAAAATAGGTTATTCAAGATAGAAAGAAAACTTACAAAAGCGATCATTTACACTCTTTAAGTACATCAAAAGATGAAGATATTGGTATAAAAAAACGTCAAGCTTTTCTCGATTTATTTATTGAAATGTCCAATAAAGAAAATGCGCTTACCGATGAAGAAATAAGGGAACAAGTTGATACATTTATGTTTGAGGTGAATTTACTTTATTTTATTTTTTGAAATTATTTAAAGTTTTTCGTTTTAGGGACATGATACAACAACTGCCGCAATAAACTGGACACTATTTTTATTGGGAAATCACCAAGATATCCAAGATAAAGTTTACGAAGAAGTCAATCAAGTGTTTCAAAATTACGAAAACTTAACTATAAATAGTTTGAACGATTTAAAACTTTTAGAAAGGTGTTGTAAAGAAGCGTTAAGATTATATCCAAGCGTTCCGTTTATAGGAAGAAAATTAATTGAGGATATTAAATTAAGTTTGTTTTATATTATGTTCTTTATAAACAAAAATATTATTTAATACTAATTTCAGAGGAGTACTTGATACCAGCTGGATGTACAATTTCGATTCAAATGGTGACTCTTCATAGAAATCCAAATGTTTTTCCAAAACCTAATAAATTTGATCCGGACCGATTTTTACCAGAAAATACTAAAAATAGACATCCTTATGCTTACGTTCCGTTTAGTGCTGGACCAAGAAATTGCATAGGTTTAATGTAAATCTTTCCATTAAATTTGTTTAAAATATTTTTGTTTTAGGACAAAAATTTGCAATTTATGAAGAAAAAATTATTTTGGCTTACATCTTAAAAAATTATAGAATAATTTCAACTCAAACGGAAAAAACCATAAAACCGATGATGGAGTTAATTTTACGCCCAAAAGATGGGTTATTCATCAAATTAGAACCAAGAGTATAAAATTTAACAATAATTTTTTCATCTTCATATTTTATTCTCTATAATCTATTAATTGTGATCTTTATTATATTATTTTTCTTTAAATATCTTTTTATTTTACATGATTTATACCAACAATATCGGCTTTATAAAAAGTATTTTTATAAATTTAATTAAAATTGCAAAATATTAAAATTTGCAAAAATTGAATTGAAAGTAGAAATCCTTTATTAATATTATTGAGTTGCGAAGGTCGCCGGAAAGGCTACGTTTGTGCACGCACATTACTACATATTTACAAAAAAGTAAATTGCATAACAAATTAGTTATAATAAAGGTTTAATTGAAACCGTATTGTAGATGGTCTAAAATACAGTTTAATGTTTTACTTTAAACTTATCAATTTGTTTTATAGATGACGTTATCAATAAAAATTAACAAAGATTTTATTTATAAGTTGTTTTTTATTGTGCCGACTAATGCGAGATAAGTCAGCCGATTTGATCGACGTTGCAAGGATGATGTGCGAGCCTGCAGATTTTGATGGTAGTAGTAAATACCTGGGAGGGCCTGAAGGATTCTAGTGAAGAATGACTTCGTGTGCACTGCCATTATAAACGGTACCTTCGATTGAAAGGCGTTTAACGAAATGGTGCCAATTTTAAAATACGCGTGTTAACTTTGAAAGGTGTTGAAATAATAAAAGAGTTACACACCCGACGAGCGAAAAGTAATTTTATTCCTATTTCGAAACTCGGCAACGTTACTATAATACACAAATTATGATTTTAATCAGATTTTCTTTTTCACATAAGCGCCGAGTTCCATGGAATCCTTTAACATGGTTTGGAATACAAAGAGAACCGCAGTTACAGTGATGGTAGAATCTTCCAGAGAATATATGAAAAAGTCGTGTGGAGGAGTTGTTCTGTGGTTGGTCTCCATGAGAAATAATCTCTAGTTGATAAAATAATGTAGGTGAGGGAAGTCGGAAAATGTGAATAAAGACTGACGTGCCTGATAAGTTGAAATTATCGGGTTCCACATCCCGCGATTTAGCATATTGCGAAAGTTCCTTGCTGCGAAACTTGAATAAGTGAATTTTAAAAGATCCATTATATTAGAGGTATAATACAGGGTCATCCACGACGACCGTCCATTAGAACTTTACAGGGTTCTGGCCAAAACAAAAATTTGAAAATTCAGATTTAAGTATTATTAATTGCATTCTCTTCGACTAAAATATTTTCAGATTTGTAGCACTTCCGGTAATACCGGAAGTCGCCACCTACTTTATTTTTTTAAATGGAACAACCTATATATTTTTACATATTTGGATTTGTCTGTTTTCAAGGTTTATGAATAACTTTACTTTTTGCAATTTGATTCGACCGTTCTCGAGTTATTCGAATTTTTCTAGAAAAATCTGCTCCAGCAGACATTTGTTCAAAAATCAGAGAACACTCGATTTTTGGGATATCAATTTAGGATTCAGAACATGCGTAAGCAACATGATGGACTATGTTTTGGTGCTGAGTACGGCCGTCTAGAACGTTTGGTCATCTTACTACAGCACGTTAACTTTTCGAAATTTGGAAATACCATAACTTAATTTTTTTAAATGGCACCCCCCATATTTTATTACTTAGTCGTCTTGGGTGTCTCATTTTACATCTTTTATATCCCATATGTCCTATACCTAACATTTATAGTTTGGAAGATAATTAGGGTTTTTTGAAAAATGCACACATATCATATGGATATTTAGCCTAGTGTGCCATGAAAAACAAGCCTTCTCAATGAGTTCTTGTCAAAGACTCACTTGTTTACGTCACTTGATGCATGTGAGCTAATAATTATCTGTTATGTCCCTTAATATTAGTACTGAAACGAGTTAAAATCGATAACAATAACGAAAGTAATATTTACACAAATCAAGAAATTCTTAATTTATTTTTTTTGCATGAAAAGCGCGACAAAGTTCGTAGTATGNAATCCTCATTACTAAATTCCAAATGTGGCATTTCTTGAGAACAGATCACTACAAAAAGTAACCTAGTCATCACACCAACAGAAATAAACCATAGCTTTAGCAAATGTCAAACTGTTTACTCTTTCCTTACTGATCCTCTGATTACACTCCAATTACACTCCAACAGAAATAAACCATAGCTTTAGCAAATGTCAAACTGTTTACTCTTTCCTTACTGATCCTCTGATAATACATAACCACAACAACATTCCACAACACCAAATTTTTTTTCCGGCGGTAAACTAGATGATTTATAAATTATAAAAAGTAACGTTGTAGTTGACATTTTTGATTGAAAAATGTAATAAAACTCAGGGTGTTCCATTTGAAATATGAAAATTGTCACCTCTTCCGATGTAACCACAAGTACCCGGAACCTGAAAATACTTTAGTTAAAAAGCTGACATCAAACATCACAAGTCTACAAATTTTCAAACTTTCACTTCATCCGGTTATTCACTAGGTCGCACTAGGTATTCATAACACACTAGGTTAAATATCGATGTGTGTGCATTTTTCAAAAAAACCCTAATTATCTCCCAAACTATAAATGTTAGGTATAGGACATATCGGATACAAAAGATGTAAAAAGAGACACCGAAGACGACTAAGTAATAAAATATGGGGGGTGCCATTTAAAAAAATGAAGTTATGGTACTTCCAAGTTTCGAAAAAGTAACGTGCCATAGTAAAGTGACCAAACGTTCTAGACAGCCATACTCGGCACCAAAACATACTCCATCATGTTCTGAATCCTAAATTGATATCCCAAAAATCGAGTGTTCTATGATTTTTTGAACAAATGTCTGCTTTAGCAGATTTTTCTAGAAAAATTCGAATAACTCGAGAAGGGTCGAATCAAATTGCAAAAAGTAAAGTCATTCATAAACCTTAAAAACAGACAAATCCAAATATGTAAAAATATACAGGGTGTTCCATTTAAAAAAAATAAAGTAGGTCGCGACTTCCGGTATAACCGGAAGTGTTAGATATCTGAAAATATTTTAGTCGAAGAGAACGCAGTTGATAATACTTAAATCTGAATTTTCAAATTTTAATTTTGGCCGGAACCCTGTAAAGTTGTAATGGACGGTCGTCGTGGATGACGTATGGTTTTAATTTTGCAGTTTATTTTGTTGTATGTTATTGTCTTATAATTGTCAAAGTTATTTTTATTCGTAGAGTATAAAGGGTCTAGTTTTATGAGTTTTTATATAGTAATTGGTCGATGGTATAACTTGGATAACCATTTTCTCTTGCTAATTTGTTAATAAAATTTAGTTCTTTTAGTCTGGATGTATAGTCTAGACTAGTCTAGAGGATATTTCAATAGTCTGACAATAAAACCCTGGAAAGCAGCTAATTTGTAGTTGTTGAGATGGAACGAATCATAAGGGATGACAGTATTTAAAGATGAGGGCATCCTAAAAATGTCAAACTTAAAATTATTGTCAATTTTTTGTATTTTTAAGTCTAGGAAATTTGAGCAGTTGTCCTTTTCTATCTCCAAGGTGAATTTAAGATTCTTGTGGATGTTGTTCATGTAAGATAGCTTACTATCAAGATCGAATTTATTTCCATTCCACACACATATGTCGTCGACGAAATGGTATAGATAACCATTTTATGATATTCTTAAAGAATGGATTTTTTGAGTTAACAATGAAGTTCTTTTCAATATTATCTAAATACAAATCAGCTAATAATCCAGAAATGGAAAGACCCATAGGAAGTCCATGTTAAAGTTTGTAGATTTTATTATCAAAGCGACAATAGTTGTGTTGAATAATATGTGATTAAATATTTCGATCAAGTCAGCAGTGATGGTTTTATCTTTAAAATGTTGAAAAAATATGTCTTCAATCACCTTTAAAGTGTAAGTGGTACCAACATTTGTGTATAGATTGACCACATCGAAGGATACCAGTGTATTATTATCAGGTGAAATATGTTTTAAGTTTTTGATGAGTTGCAATGAGTTTTTCAGAGAGTGTATTGGTTTATAGTCAATTTGTTTAAAAATACCATACATAAAATCAGTAATTTTAGAGGTAGGAGAGTCAAAACATGTGGTTATAGGCCTAATGGGTAAATTGGCCTTATGGAGTTTTATGAGAGAATAAAGTTGTGGTATGAAGCAGTTCATAGGCATTAGAAAATATAGGTTTTGACCAAGCTTTGTGATAGTATCTTTATGTTTATTGATGACATTCTTAGTTTTAGCTGTTATTGAATTTAATGGGTCTTTCTTAATTACGTTTAAGTACCAAGTATATAAACTTAATTAATAAAAAAAAACTTTAGAGGTCAAGAGGCCTACTTATTATTATTTCATTTCAACATTGAATAAGTGACGTTTTTAAAACTAAATGAACTATGCAAAGCTAACGCGTAAAATAAAGGCTACCAAGGGTACCTCTGCTACTGACGTCTCGCTCCAAGAATTCGAAGAATGTTCTTGAGATTGAGCGAGTTTCAATTGAATCGGGAACATCTCTGAAGATTTGAGTATTTTGTTTTCACTTCACTTTAGTTCGTTATGGATCTTCCCTCGTACCCATGATATTCTTAAAGCTTGCACAATGCTAGAAGATATACAATTATAAAGCAATTTGTGATATACTGACACAAGTTTATCAAGCGAAGGAGTATTTGTACTTAACTGCTGAACAGTATAAACCAGTTTCTCGTCACAAATTTCAACATACATACAGTTAGCAAGAACGGGCTGAACGAGTCCCCTTGACTCGTTCAGCCCGTTTTTATTCAACATTGTTATGGACCTACCAGTGATTCCATCAAGAACGAAATGAAGTTCACTGCTGTCGTCAACGCCGATGATCTGGTGTTGTTGAATATCATCATGCCTTACACCTTAAACTTGGGCACCCGGTTCCTTCCATTGAATCCCATCGTTATCCCTACGTTCTTCTAATTGGGGAGTTAGAGCAGCATCAGGTAACCTGCTTTATTCAAAGATTAAATATACAGAGATACCTCAAATATCTGAAGCAGGCACTTCTAGAACCAGACTAGAAATATCATTTATTAAGGAAAATCTTGAAATAATCAAGAAAACAATGATTAATGAAGCCGTTCCTGACGGCGGAGATAACCAGCACATCAAGCGGATTGATGAATAACTTGATTTATACTGGGTGAAGTTCCAAAAGGCTGTGGTACAAAGGTACATCAAGAAAACATTTGGACAACTGGTGGCTTTTGGTTATTAATATGGACAACCAATAACCTGGAACTATTAAGCTGTCAAAATCGAATTGAATTGTATCTTACATTGATTATCCACCAAAAATGTGTGGTGTGGAATTGCACAAGATTTTTTTACTGGACCCATACCGTTTTTGACAGAAGAATCTTAAAGTTCGAGAATATAAATCACGAATTCTGAGGGATAAAGTTGAAACAGCTCTTCATAAATTAAGGGGATAGAAAATCGCCAAGCTCAGATAATGTCGTAGCGAAAATGTTAAAATGCACTGATATCATGGTTAGTACTTTGTTACACCGCATTTGTCTAGAAATATGGGAAATGGTTAGAATAATGGAGGAAGTATGTATACAGGGTGTTTCAGGTTATTGTAGCAGGACTTTAACAGTCGATAGATAGGCCGATAGATAGGTCGACAAACGCTTTGTTTTGGAGATACAGGGTGTTCAAATTAAATTTTTAAATTGATTTTTATTTAATATTACACGTGTACTTCAACCGATTCTTTTCAAATTTGGTATACGGAGGTTTTTTGGCATGAGAAAGACGATTATGGAGTCCGTTTTACTATAGCCGATAGAGGGCTATGATGGGATACGCTCTGTAACGTAGCCTTTTTGAATAAGAATTCTTATTCTTGGTACTTTTTTAATAATAATAATAATAATAATAATNTGCAGCCTGCCATAATTATAACATAATCATTCCTATTAAAATTTTCACATAACAATTGAACATCTTGTATTACATTTGCCATCGTCGCGTTTGGTTTGCATATATTGCAAACTTCGTATTTTTTATTTATATCGTTGTTTAAATATTGCGCTAGAATCCTGCCACCATCGCGACCGTGGCTGTCACTTAGTAGCAATATTCTCCCTTTGCTATCTTCTGGGGCAATGCAGGGCGAATTTGGTACCCTAGTTTCGTCTATGTTTCGTACCGACTTCCGTACCTCCGTGCCATGATAAGGCAGCTGTTGCCGTCTGGTATTGGTTGACGCCTTGTTCGATGGATCTTCGACCGCCGAGTTATTTTTCACTGTTGATTGTACCGACTCGCGAATTTTATTGAAACAGCACTTAAACTTTGATTGATTTTTCCGTTTATTCATTTTTGTAATTTGTACTCTTAGGTTGAGGATTTGGTTTTCTAACTCTTTAATTTTGTTGAGCATTCTAAATATAGTTTTATTGTTTAAGGCAATTGGCATTGTTTAAGCAAAAACGGTACTCTTATCAAAATGCGCTAAACTTGATCGTTTTCAAGATAATCCTCTTTTTATTATTCGATGTAGACCAATTTTTTTAGTTTGATTAGTTTATGATTATAAGGTCCCAGTAATGTTCTGTTTCCTAGACTAGAGGAAGACTTTTGACACGTTACTTGAATAAACTTTGAGGAAATCTTGATAGTGATGATCATAATATCCTTTTATGTAATTTTATGTTTTTTAGTATACAGAGAAAGGAATAATAACAATATAACAATATTATTTTGGTAACTAGTGTCACATAGCTAACTCGATATACAGGTGTATCTGAATGACTGCAACAAACTTCTAGGGGTGATTCTTTAGTGAATTTTAAAGTTGAAACCCCTTGAAGTTTGTTGCAGTCATTCAGATACACCCTGTATATTCCATATGGGTTTGTCATAGGGTGGTATATCTATTGTAGGGAAAAACATCTCGAACCTTCGATACGCAGATAACACTATCGCAACGGCTAAAGATGAACAAGAAAAGAATCGTGCAAGTAAGCATGGAGTGCGGACTGCGACTGAATAGATCTAAATGCCATTTGATGATTATGGACGGGGCGGGTAATCCATGGCATAGGGGTTAAGAATAACATCAACTATCTGGGTACGAAAATAACAAATAGGGGTGGCTCAGAATAAGAAATAAAAAGAAGAATCGGAATGGCAAAAGAGGATATGTGGAGACTGATTAAAATCTGGAAAGACCACCGTATTCGCAAAGATATAAAACAAGATTTCTGACACCTTTAGTATTTTTTATTGCAACATATGGCTCAGAAGTCTGGACCATAAATGTTGTATGCCGAAAGGGGATTGAAGTTTCTGAAATGATATGTTACCGAAGATTCTAGAAAATCCAAAAATACGCGATAATGAGAGATTATTACCAACAATCAAGCATCGCATAATTAAACTTTTCGGCGTTATATTAAAACATTTGGTATTTGAAGTCTGCACTAATTATTCAATATGTTTTCTAATCGGATAAATGAAGGAAGCCTCCATCACTCTAATTAAAATTTGTATCGTTCTTCTATCAAGTTTTCATCAAATTTGCATGAAGATAACTCCGTATAAAAGCTACGTAACCTTTGCATCAAGTTTTTATTATGTTTGTAAGGTTTGTGCAAAGTTAAGCCTTTAACAAGGTATATCAGATCTTCATAAAAATTATATCTAGTTGTGTATCAAGGTAAGTTCACGATTTTATAAAATTTTCTTATAAAAGGAAAGGTTTTATAAAAGTCCTTGCTGTTCAAAGAGAGCTAGTTTTTGAAGTCTGCGTCAAATTTTCAATATGTCTCTTATTCATATCAATGTAGGAAGTATCCATCAAGTCTATATAGATTTCTATCATGCATCAACTTTTCAACAGCTTTTAAAAAATAATACGTACAGTAGACCTTTATCCAAAACGTCGAATATGGGCACTGCTGAAAGCTACCTCTACTTTATGGATTTCTGTTTTAACGAACGTCAATAACTTTGCATTTGTAATTGTTGTAAATATGATATCGTCTTGACCTTAGTACTTGAAATATTCGTTATCACAATTGGTAGAGGCTAGATGTTAATTTATTTTTCACCAATATATAGACCAAATATTTAATATAAAATATATAAATTAATCAGCTTGCAAATGAATGCGTAAAATGTTATTATCAAAATATAAGCATTGTGCCTATCAGGCGATGTCACATTTCTGTTTAAAATATAGGTACATAAATATCGCCTTTATGTTGAAAGTAAATATTTTAATTAACAACTCTTAAATTATAAATTTAAACAGCTGAGATAACACCAGAAGTTAATTTATCAGTGATTATTTTATTTTAACGCTCAGTCATGTTAAGAAAATGATAATACAACAAAATATATAAATCCACGTCGATTAATTTTTTAAATTGCGTTTTAAGCATGGATCCGTTTAATTTATTATTAATTACGGTGACCGTGTTGATTCTTTATTTTAGTTTAGAGTTTCTATTGCGTGATAGAATAACTAAATATGTGGATAAAATTCCTGGACCGATTAAACTTCCTATTTTTGGAACAACATGGCCTTTGTTATTTTTGCCTAAATCTGGTAACATTTTTCAATTAAATTTTTGTATTTAAATTGACTTACGTTTCTTCAAGTAATGTTTATTGTGTCAAAAGATGTTTTGAGAAGTTATGGTCCAATTATGAGATCGTGGTTGGGTAGAGAACCGGCTATACATTGTATAGAACCAGAAAATGTTGAAGTAATTCTTTAATTTTATTAATAAACAAATGTAAATTGCATTTTTTTTTAGATTATTTTGAATAATTCTATTCAAATTACTAAAAGTAAAATGTATAAAATAGTACATCCTTGGCTTGGAGATGGTTTGCTGACTAGTGCCGGAGAGAAATGGCATAAACATCGAAAGTTTATTACACCAACTTTTCACTTTAAAATCTTGGAAAACTTTGTGGATATTTTCGTAGAAAAAAGCCAGAAATTGGTCGAAATATTAAAGGTTAAAGCTGATGGAGATATTTTTAATATATATCCGTACATTACAAGATGTACTTTAGATATTATTTGTGGTAGATAGAAAAGAAATTATTTATAAATATATTTCAAATAATTTAATTTTAGAAACTGCCATGGGTGTTAAAATTAACGCTTTAGACAATCCAGAAAATGAATACATAAAAAGCATTTACGGGTATAATTATATTATAGTATCCGTCAAAAAGTCAGCAACACTTTGTTTTTTAATAATTTATCCCGAAAATTTCGCATTCTTATGGCGTTAAGTCTGATGATAATGGATTTTCAGGAAACCGTCAAATCCAACGGTTTGGAAACAAATTATCTCGTGTACTGTGCTCTGGACATTGTCTTGTTGAAAACATTTAGGGGCTAATCTTTAATGGGATATCCGTTATAATCTGGAAAAAAATGTTTTCTAACATTTCTATATATCTTTGGGAGAGAGTATTTCGAAAAAAGGGCCAATAATTGTCACCAAACATTATTAGTTAAATTAATTGGTTCTTTTTATTGCTTATCCGACAATTTCCTCTTTAATAATGATAATTTCCTAGAAATTTCAATAATATTATCTTATAGTTTTTATATCATATCATAAACTAGAGTCTTTAAGCTCCAATTTAACATACATATCATATCAAGATTCTTAAAAGTACAGTTGATATGATTTCTTTTAAATTTCGTATTATTTTTTATTTATAATTTAGACAATTTCTTTCTTAATAATTGTTTCCTGGAAATTTTAATAACATTATCTCATAGTTTCTATATCATATCATAAACTAGAATCTTTAAGCTTCAATTTAACATACATATCATTTTAAGATTCTTAGAACTACAGTTGATACGATTTCTTCAAAATATCGAATTATTACTGATTTATAAATTTTACAATTTGTTCATTAATAACTTTTCTGGTGATTTCAATAACATTATCTTATAGTTTCTATATCATATCATAAACTAGAGCCTTTAAGCTTCAATTCAACATACTTATCATATCATGACTCTTAACAATACAGTCGGTATGATTACTTTTAAATTTTGTATTATTTTTTATTTATAAATTAGACCATTTCTTTGTTAATAATTGTTTCCTGAAAATTTTAATAACATTATCTTTTAGTTTTTATATCATATCATAAACTAGAATCTTTAAGCTTTAATTTAACATACATATCATATCAAGATTTTTAAAAATACAGTTGATATGATTTTTTCAAAATATCAAATAATTACTGATTTATAAATTTGACAATTTCTTCATTAATAATTTTTTTCCGGCAATTTCAATAATATTATCTTATAGTTTCTATATCATATCATAAAGTAGAATCTTTAAGCTTCAATTCAACATATTTATCATATCATGACTCTTGACAATACAGTCGGTATGATTACTTTTAAATTTTGTATTGTTTTTTATTTATAAATTAGACCATTTCTTTGTTAATAATTGTTTCCTGGAAATTTTAATAACATTATCTCATAGTTTCTATATCATATCATAAACTAGAATCTTTAAGCTTCAATTTAACATACATATCATATTAAAATTCTTAAAACTACAGTTGATATGATTTCTTCAAAATATTGAATTATTACTGATTTATAAATTTTACAATTTCTTCATTAATAACTTTTCTGGTGATTTCAATAATATTATCTTATAGTTTCTATATCATATAATAAACTAGAGCCTTTAAGCTTCAATTCAACATACTTATCATATCATGACTCTTAACAATACAGTCGGTATGATTACTTTTAAATTTTGTATTATTTTTTATTTATAAATTAGACCATTTCTTTGTTAATAATTGTTTCCTGGAAATTTTAATAACATTATCTCATAGTTTTTATATCATATCATAAACTAGAATCTTTAAGCTTCAATTTAACATACATATCATATCAAGATTCTTAAAACTACAGTTGATATGATTTCTTCAAAATATTGAATTATTACTGATTTATAAATTTTACAATTTCTTCATTAATAACTTTTCTGGTGATTTCAATAATATTATCTTATAGTTTCTATATCATATCATAAACTAGAGCCTTTAAGCTTCAATTCAACATACTTATCATATCATGACTCTTGACAATACAGTCGGTATGATTACTTTTAAATTTTGTATTATTTTTTATTTATAAATTAGACCATTTCTTTGTTAATAATTGTTTCCTGAAAATTTTAATAACATTATCTTTTAGTTTTTATATCATATCATAAACTAGAATCTTTAAGCTTCAATTTAACATACATATCATATCAAGATTCTTAAAACTACAGTTGATATGATTTCTTCAAAATATTGAATTATTACTGATTTATAAATTTTACAATTTCTTCATTAATAACTTTTCTGATGATTTCAATAATATTATCTTATAGTTTCTATATCATATCATAAACTAGAGCCTTTAAGCTTCAATTCAACATACTTATCATATCATGACTCTTAACAATACAGTCGGTATGATTACTTTTAAATTTTGTATTATTTTTTATTTATAAATTAGACCATTTCTTTGTTAATAATTGTTTCCTGAAAATTTTAATAACATTATCTTTTAGTTTTTATATCATATCATAAACTAGAGTCTTTAAGCTTTAATTTAACATACACATCATATCAAGATTCTTAAGAATACAATTAATATGATTTTTTCAAAATATCGAATAATTACTGATTTATAAATTTGACAATTTCTTCATTAATAATTTTTTTCTGGCAATTTCATTAATATTATCTTATAGTTTTTATATCATATCATAAAGTAGAATCTTTAAGCTTTAATTCAACATACTTATCATATCATGATATAAAAATATAGTCGACATGATTACTTTAAATTTCGTATTATTTTTTATTAGACCATTTCTTTCTTAATAATTGTTTCCTGGAAATTTCTATAATATTATCTTATAGTTTTTATATCATATCATAAACTAGAATCTTTAAGCTTCAATCTAACATACTTATCATATCATGACTTAAAAATACAGTCGGTATGATTTCTTTTAAATTTCGTAATGTTTTTTATTTATAAATTAGACCATTTCTTTCTTAATATTTGTATTCTATAAATTTTAACATCATTATCTTTTAATTTTTATATCATATCATAAACTAGAATCTTTAAGCTTTAATTTAACATACATATCATATCAACATTCTGAAAAATACAGTTGATATGATTTTTTCAGTATATCGAATTATTACTGATTTATAAATTTGACAATTTCTTTCTCCAAAATTTTTTCCTGGAAATTTCAATAACATTATCTTATAGTTTCTATATCATATCATAAACTAGAATCTTTAAGCTTCAAATTAACATACATACCACAATCCATACAATTTAACATATATTTAAATTAAACATCTGTTGACTTTTTGACGAAAACTATTGTTTACATTAATTGTATGTAAATGAAGTTAATTTTAGAATCACCAAATTAACCATGAAGAGATTAACTACGCCTTTGTTACACCCTGATTTTATATTTTATAAAACACCATTTGGGAAGGAATATAATAAATATTTAACAATACTACATAATTTCACAACACAAGTAATTCCTAATAAATTAATATATATTATTCCAAATAATAAAATTGAATTAATACAGGTTATTCAAGATAGAAAAAAAGCATTCAAAAACGATCATTTACACTCGTTGAATACATCAATAGATGAAGACATTGGTATAAAAAAACGTCAAGCTTTCCTCGATTTATTTATTGAAATGTCCAATAAAGAAAATGCGTTTACCGATGAAGAAATAAAAGAGCAAGTTGACACATTTATGTTTGAGGTGAATCGACTTTATTTTATTTTTTTAAATTATTTAAATATTTTTCATTACAGGGACATGATACAACAACTGCAGCAATAAATTGGGCGCTCTTTTTATTGGGAAATCACCAAGATATCCAAGATAAAGTTTACGAAGAAGTCAATCAAGTGTTTCAAAATTATGAAAACTTAACTATAAATAGTTTGAACGATTTAAAACTTTTGGAAAGATGTTGTAAAGAGGCTTTAAGATTATATCCTAGCGTTCCAGCGATAGGAAGAGAATTAACTAGGGATATTGTATTAGGTTTTTTTAAAATAATGTTGTTAATAAAACACATTCTTATTAAAACTAATTTCAGGGGGATATTTAGTACCAGCTGATTGCACGGTTGCGGTTGAAATTCTATCACTTCATAGAAATCCTAAAGTATACTCAAATCCTGATAATTTCGATCCGGATCGTTTTTTACCAGAAAATACTAAAAATAGACATCCTTATGCTTACGTTCCGTTTAGTGCTGGACCAAGAAATTGCATAGGTTTAAAAGAATCATTTCGTTAAATTTTTTAGGTATTAACTTATGGTTGTTTTAGGACAAAAATTTGCAATTTACGAAGAAAAGATTATTTTGGCTTACATCTTAAAAAATTACAAAATAACTTCAACGCAAACTGAGGAAACTATAAAACCAATGGTAGAATTAATTTTGCGACCAAAAGATGGGTTATTCATTAAATTAGAACCCAGAGTGTAAATTGTTCAAGAAAAATTTATATTAAAGCGGTGTCAAAATTGGAATTTTTTTTTAGTTTTAGTAAATAAGCGTTTAATTCTTCATAATGAGACGGAACTTGCTATTGTTACTGTTAAATAAAGCTTATTTATTTTTGTATGTTTATATTATGCTAGTGTGTTGTTGTGTATAGCTGCTTTAGAAATCGTTGGTTTAGTTTTTAGGTAAAATATGCAGTGCTGGAAACAATTGGATCTTGAAAGCAATGTGTTTGACCACACACATTGCTTTATGATTAGGGTGTAATCATATCTGTGGAATTGCTTGTACGAGCTGAAGATTTGGGGATACACTGAATAAAGGACAACCTCTCATTCAACAACTGCCTTTTTAATATTATAAGTAAGCTATCGTGCTGGATCGTATCGAAAGCCTACAAGATATCCAAATAATAACTCTTTGCATCGAAGGCCTCTGTTGCAGCTACCACAATTCTGTGAACTTGTTTGATTGCTCTATCTCTAATAGAATCTAGAATATTTGCCATTATTTCAATGTTTGTCAATTTTGAGATGATTCATTATAATAAATAACAAGCAACCATATTGTAATGTATGTTCTTACAGTACATCCTTAACACAAATATGGTTTCATGATCGTTCCAAATAAAGCAGATATGATTTTTTTAATTTTTTACTTTTCTAAAATGTTGAAGTTTGACATCATCTTATTATTTGTTAATTTACAGAAGTTTTACTATAATAAACAACTACATTGTAACATATCTTCTTAAAGTAAATGCTTTTAGCTTTAATTTAATATATACATTGAAGCTAAAAGAATGAACGTTATAATCAGCAGATATGTCTTTATTTTTTGAATATTGTGAAAATGGTCGGTGTTGACATTATTTTATTATTTGACAATTTTGAAACATTTTACTATAATAAACACCTATGTTGTACCATATTCTCTTAAAGTACATGCTTATAGCTTTAATTTGATACAAAAATGATTCAATATCGTTCTAAATAAAGTATATATGATTTTCTTAAATATTGAACTTTTCTAAAATGTCAAAGTTTGACATCATCTTATTATTTGACAATGTTCAGAAGTTTACATGCTTGGAAAAAGGTAACGTCCTTATGATAACCCTCAGTTTTCGGTCGTCTTCAGAGGCGCACGGCCAAACCTGAATGTTAAATTGTCAGATTAAAAGGTTAGGTACTAAGTGCCAATTTGAAGATATTTTCTTAATAATGTTTTCACCATAACTTAATAATCATCATATTACACTACGTTTAAATTCAAACTGCGAATATTTCGGGGTTACTTCAACAATGCGTAATTAACAAAAATAATAAAATCTTTGTAATATGGCAGTTACATCTATTTAAAAACAGCACAAAAACTGGTGTTTGTTTGCTGAGAACCTCTGATACCAAGTACAGTAGAATCTAACAGGACTGCTACATCCATTGTTGTTTTGTAGCCCACTACGGATTGGTTGCCCGCACTCTACGTCACACTATTTGCCACGCCCAGTTAACTGTCATTGAATTCTATGCGTTCCATGTGTGTTTTTAGAGGTTATATGATAGACATTTCGCATGGCATAAATTTACTTGTCGTTGCAAATGGTGTGCCATAGTGTGCGGATACGTTGTCACAACAATGGATTTAGCAGTCCTGTTAGATTCTACTGTCCTTGGCTAATACTTAGGCTGATACCAAGGACAGTAGAAAGAAAGAGGACTAAGAGGACTGCTACATCCATTGTATTTTTGTAGTCCACTAGGGATTGGTTGCCCGCACTCTACGTCACACTATTTGCCACGCCTGGTAACTGTCTGCGTTTTTAGAGGTTATATGATAGACATTAATACGTCTAAAAACATAAAACTTCAAAAATAATATGAATACGTCTAGAATATAACCTCTAAAAATACACAGCAAACGCATAGACCATAACAACAGCTGGGCGTGGAAAATGGTGTGATGTAGTTTGCGGGCAGGTTGTCACAACAATGGATGTAGCAGTCCTGTTAGATTCTACTGTCCTTGGGCTGATACCATGTTTTTATTGCTGCCAATCCAGTTGATTTGGTTACTTAGCAGCAGACATGTCATTTAATATTTTATGTCATTTAACGTCAAAATTAGAACTCGAAAATCAAAAAGTACAATGGCAATTTACAGTAATGAGGAATACGTAGATATGCTTATTGTTTATGGAGCTGCTGAGGAAAACACTGTACACGCAAGACGTATGCATTTGGAACGATTTCCAAATCGACAGATGCGTTCTGAAAACACTTTTCTTCGGTTAGTCCAGCGAGGAAGAGAGACAGAAAATTTGCAACCTAAGAAAGGTCTTGGTGACGGTAGACTAAACAAACATGGAGTGAATGTAGAAGAAGAAATTCTAGAAATTGTTTATGCAGATCCAAGTCAAGATTCTGACCAACTCGAAGTTTCCCAGAACATTGTTTAGCGTACATTGGAAAGTAATGGTTTATACACCTTTTGCAAAAGATGCAAGGACTGACTCCTGCTGATTATCCTTTGCGGCTGCAATTTTGGCTACTAAATCGTACCAACAGAGAAACAGATTTTGCGAACAGTATACTGGTAACGGATGAATGCTGTTTTACCAGAAATGGTGTTTTAAATTTACACAATTACCATGTGTGCTCGGACAAAAATCCACATGTTATTCGTCAGGATTACAACAAATTACGAATTATCTAAAATAACAAAACTATTGAAACAATAAATTGTCTGGTTATATAGCTCTTTCAAAAATGAGGGTCGCGTTGACGAGTATTTATATCACTCTGTATAAGGTAGATATGATTTTTTTTTTATTTTTTGCATTTTGCAAAAATGGTCAATTTTGACATCATATCATTATTTGTCAATATTGAGACATTTTATTATAATAATCACCGAGCAGGCGCGCCCGATTTTATAACTAGAGCGGGCGCGTGTCATAAATTTTATGACATCAGGTCCGTATTAATAAGTATTACGTTATTTTTAATAAAACAGTTAAAACACACATTTTGCTAGAGTAAAAATATTTAATTTATATTAAACAATTGTTAAAAACATAAAATGAAATCGATTAATTTTTCAAATCTAACAACATTTACAAACTACATACTGGGAATTTCATATAAGTCACAATATATGAATGCAGCAACCATAGTTACGAAACTACTATGCACTTGGACTGTCCCACATAAAATGCAACATAGCTTAATAGTACAGGCATTGGGTAGCTTTGCTGGGAAAAAGGTGACGTCCTTATGATAATCTTGACCTTTCGTCCGTCTTAAGATACGCACGGCTAAACCAGAATGTTTCTAATTACAGTCTAGTGTTAGTTCCACTTTTCGTTCAAAAAGAATATCCCACAATCAAACGCTGAATAACAATTAAAACTAGGATTAATACTAGACCTAGAACTAGAAAGTTTCGGGTAAACCCGAATAATTCTAATTCTAGGTCTAGTGTTAGTTCTAGTTTTAGTTCAATTAGAATATGCAACATGGTAATATCTTATGTTAACTAGCGCTACCTACCACTGTTACTAGAATTAACATTAGACCTAGAACTAGAAACATTCAGGTTTAGTCGTCTTAAGCCTTTGAATATATTGAGTATTTCCATAAACTCACGTTTCCAGAAACGGAAAAGATTGAAATATTGAAAAGATGAAAATAATTCCGATTCCGACAAAATTGTCATTACGGACCTGTATTTTTGAAAAATGAGCAAACGCAAATGTGAATCCGAAACCTTCATGTATGACTCAAAACCTGTTTATAATGTATTTATATTCCTTAATATATCCCATAATATATGCATATACGGCCTTATAAATCATCAATTAATGTGCAAATTTTTTGTCTTTTATAACTTTTTTTGTCATAAATCATCATGTTCTAAATACTTAGTTACATGAATACCTTAGCGTTAAATCCTTTCAAATGCATACTATAAGGAGATATACAGATTGGTCCATTTAACGTGAGACGAGCGATTATGTCGAAAACGGTTCATTTTACATAATAATTTTTTTATTCAAATAGTTTTAAATATTGTTTATTTATAAAAAATGATTAAACTATACTATTAATCAACAATAAGTATAAAATTTATAATAAATGTTCAAATATTTCCCCACCCACTTCAATACATTTGTTAACCCTTCTACTAAAACTTTCTTTACACCTTAAAAGGTTTTCTTGGGTACTATTTCTGCATGCATTTCTTATCCGCTCTTTCATGTTTTCTGGCGTAGTCAGTATTTCGCGATAAACATTATCCTTAAGGACGTCCCACAAAAAAAAATCAAGAGGTGTTAAATTAGGTGATCTGGCAGGCCAGGAAGTTGGATCTCCCCTTCTAATCCATCGCCCAGCATAATCCCGATCTAAAGCTTCACGTTTGCAGCCATATATTTTGTCTTCCTTCCCTGCTCAAATTTACAAGTAACGTTGGTAGGACGTCATCTAAAAAATTTCGGTACTTCTTCCCATTCAGCACACCATCAATAAAGTATGGACCGATCAATTTATCACCAATTATGCCACACCAAACATTAACCGACCAAGGTCGTTGATGTTCTACTTTTGTTACCAAAGAAATTGACGTCCAACCGCATTCGTTCTTGTGCCCATTGACAAAATATTATTCAAAATCACCTCCATAAAGCTGTTGATGCAATGAAATGTGGTATGGGTGATACTTGTTGCGCTTTAATATTCTTAAAATGCTGACCTTCGATATTCCGGCGTCAATTGCAAGTTATCGAGTGCTAATACGCTAGCTAATACCACAATTTCCTTTTCTTTTGTAGTTACAGTTGCTCGCCGAGTTCTTTTTCTTGATTTCATATTTCCAGTGTTAGTGAAGTCATTCACAACTCTGTAAAAGGTACTTCTCGAAGGCGTTTTTCGATCAGGAAAACGTTCTCGATACAAAGCTATACTATCAGTAACTTTTCTGCCACTTTCTCCATAAATAAAAATCATTTCGACTTTTTCTGCCACACTTAGAGTATCCATGACTTAATGACTTAGTTTAAACACTTTACCTTAATGTAAAACGATGGAATGAATTCAGAATATGTTGCCAAGCAGTCTTTATGCAAATTTAGCTTTACTCGTTACATTTTAAACCAATTAAGTCTCTGAAAGCGATATTCTGAAAATGTCGACATAAGCAGTTCCACGAACTCTTGTTTTTTATGCGTTATTGTATTATCAAATTGATAAAGGTGGAAAAATGTCGAAACCTTTTAGACCTCTTTCCAAAGGTATTTCCGATGAGCCAGGTCACCCGATGTACCTCTTCTGGATTCTTTTTGTTGAGCATTCTTAAACAGTATTCTAAGAATTAAGAACTAAAAACAATGTATCGAAGCGGGTAGGAAAATGTTTAAAAATTCATAAATCTTTTTGTTAAACTAAAATTAGAACTAAAACTAGAAACTTTCGGGTTTTGCCGTGCGTCTTTTAATAAAAGGTTTGACGTTTCGGATGCCATGTTGCAACCTTCTTCAGAAACTGGTTCGAAGTGACGAGAT